AATATTAAACATTCTTAAAGAAAAGAATTTTTAATCCAGAATTTCATATCCAGCCAAACTAAACTTCATAAGGAATACATGGGAATACAAATCACAAGGAATGTGAAAGATCTCTTCAAGGAGAACTACAAACCACTAGTCAAGGGTATAATAGAGGACACAAACAAATGGAAAAACATTCATCCTCATGGATAAAAAGAATCAGTCTCATGAAATGGCCATACTACCCAAAGTAATTTATGGATTCAATGCTATCCCATCAAGCTACCATTAACTTTCTTCACAAAAAAAAAAAAAAAAACTACTTTAAATTTCATATGGAACCAAAGAAGAGCCCATATAGCCAAGACAATTCTGAGCAAAAAGAACAAAGCTGGAGGCATCAGACTACCTGATTTCAAACTATACTACAAGGTAACAGTAACCAAAACAGCATGGTACTGGTACCAAAACAGAGATGTAAACCAATGGAACAGAACAGAGGCCTCAGAAATAACATCACACATCTACAACCATTGGGTCTTTGACAAATCTGACAAAAACAGGCAATGGGGAAAGAATTCCATAAATGGTGTTGACAAAACTGGCTAGCCATATGCAGAAATATGAAACTAGATCCCTTCTTTACACATTATACAAAAATTAACTCAAGCTGAAATAAAGACTGAAATGTAATATCTAAAACCATAAAAACTCTAGAAGAAAACCTAGGCAATACCATTCAGCACATAGGTATGGGCAAAGACTTCATGACTAAAACACAAAAAGCAATAGCAACAAAGCCAAAATTGACAAATGGGATCCAATTAAACTAAAGAGCTTCTGCACAGCAAGAGAAACTATCATCAGAGTGAACAGGCAACCTACAGAATGGCAGGAAATATTTGCAATCTATCCATCTGACAAAGGGCTAATATCTGGAATCTACAAAGAACTTTAATTTGCAGAAAACACACACACACACACACACACACACACACACACATACACACACACACACATCAAAAAGTGGGTGAAGGATATGAGCAGACACTTTTCAAAAGAAGACATTTATGCAGCCAACAAACATATGAAAAAAAAAGCTCATTATCCCTGGTCATTAGAGAAATGCAAATCAAAACCACAATGAGATACCATCTCACTCCAGTTAGAATGGCGATCATTAAAATGTCAGGAACAACAGATGTTGGACAGGATATAGAGAAATAGGAACGCTTTTATACTGTAAATTAGTTCAACCATTTTGGAAGTCAGTGTGGCAATTCCTCAAGGATCTAGAAATAGAAATACCATTTGACTTAACCGTCCCACTCCTGTATATATACCCAAAGGATTATAAATCATTCTACTATAAAGACACATGCACACGTATGTTTATTGTGGCACAATAGGAAAGACTTGGACCAATGCAAATGCCCATCAATGATAGACTGGATAAAGAAAATATGGCACATATGCACCATGGAATACTATGCAGTCATAAAAAAGGATGAGTTCATGTCCTTTGCTGGGACATGGATGAAGCGGGAAACCATCATTCTCAGCAAACTAACACAAGAACAGAAAACCAAACACTGCATGTTCTCATTCATAAGTAGGGGTCAGACAATGAGAACACATGGACATAGGGAGGGAACCATCACACACTGGAGCCTGTCAGGGGATGAGGCGGTGAGGGGAGGGATAGTATTAGTAGAAATTCCTAATGTAGATAATGGGTTGATGGGTGCAGCAAACCATCATGGCACATGTATACCTATGTAACAAATCTACACATTCCACACATGTATCCCAGCGCTTAAAGTATAATAATAATAAAGAGTACCATAGGGAAAGTTGGGGGTAGGAAGTAACTTCATAGTGGAGAAACCTAACAATCATTACCCCAGCCAGGCATTTAAGATCAATATCAGCAGTCATAAATCACGTTGGTAGTATATATCCTGTCTTAATGTGACAAAAAATGGCCTTTACCTCTGTGATCTTCTTCCTCAGACCCCATAACCCTGGTCTAATTATGACTAAAAACATCAGATACATTCTAATGAGGGGATACCCTGCAAAATACCTGACCAGTATTACTCAAAACTGTCAAGATCATCAAAAATAAGAAAAGTCTGACGAACTGTCATAGCCAACGGGAACCTAAGGAGAGATGACAATCAGAGCAGTTTGGTATTCTGGATGGGTTGCTAGAATAGAAAAAGAGTTAGGAAAAAGCTAAGGATATTTGACTAAAGTATGGACTTTAGTTAGTAACAATATCAATTTTGGTATATTAATGATAAGTACACCATACTAATGTAACATGTTAATAAGGAAACTGCGTGTGAGTTGTATGAGAAGTCTCTGTATGCTCTTCTCATTTTTTTTTTTTTTTGGTAAATATAAAACTATTTTAAATAATTAAGTCAATTTTTTAAAGAAGATGTTTCTATTAGAAAGCCAAGATTATGGGCTTATCAAGGAGATCTTTACATCAAATTATCTGCTAGCCTATGTGGGGAGGAGACCGACAGATGGTGTTTTGTAAATCTCTGTTTACCAATTTTAAGAAAGTTGGAGTTTTCCAAAAGGAAAAATATTTTGTATGGTATATAGAAGTTGGTGCATGGATTCATACCTACATTAAATCTGTTATCACCCAGAACCAGACAGAATTTTTGAATAAAAATTTGGATATTTAATTCCTCCTGCAATTCATGTACTTTATTTTCCTTTTGCTTATTTTTCTTTTTTCTAAATTACGTATGCTATTATTTAGCTATGGCTTGCTATGATATATAGTCATAGTTTTATCTGTTCAACACCCTGCCCTTCTGAAAGCAAGAATTTCCTCCTTCTGGGAGTTACACTTGTCCCCTCCACCACCCAGACCATATAATTTCATTAATATTTGCAATGTGATTGCATTTTCTTATTCCTGACCCCAGACTGGTTGTGAGTCCACCAAATCCATGATGGTCTCCTACAATTCCCAGCTTAAATGTGTTGGTCCCAGAGGTGGCCCTTGTTTCAAGCTCAATCTATCAGAGCTAGTCTCAAGCTCTTTAAGCCTAGGCTATAAAGAGAAGTAGTCATGCTATTTTGATGGAAAAACTCCTAAGGTTTAAAACCCAGAATAGTCCATTGATCATGCAGCATGCTATGCAAGAAGATTGGGTCACACCAAGAGAAAATGAAGCTGTCTAAGGTGTGTAGCCACAATGAGAAATATCTGGTGGTGCTTGGCTCACCAGCTTTAGTTGTTTCTGAGAACCAGTGCAACCTTGACCTTGCTGTCCCAGATTGTTCCAAATATTCTAGAATAAATAAACTGATGATCCAGATTTGTCAGAGTTGGTTTCTAATCCTAGCACCCAAGGAAAGTCTAAAGTACTAAGTTTGTGAAGTATCCTAGGCCGCCATTTTTTAAGAGAGGAACTTCTTGGATTTAGAGCCCTGACTCAATTGTTTCAGTAGGCCCTCAAACACAGCCTGCTTCCTGAACTGTGTGATACAAACCATATTCTGTATTTTATACTCAAAGTATAGCAGGATCGTATATTTCAAATAATCAAATGGAAACAAATAAATCACTGAAAAATATGTGTTCAAAAATGAGATAAGGATTAGAAGTTTAAAGATTCTTCAAAATCATATTGCTATATAAACAGGCATACATATATATTGGTAAATTCAAATAGTTTATGGTATGATTTACAAGATATATGGCTTCTCTACTGACTAAAAATCAAATGTATGTTAACATTTGCAAAGTGCTGTGAGAAAAAAAAAGGTTACTTATCTCACTAGTGATTTTAATGCAAATTAAAGCATAACATGTATTACCTGATTACTATATGGCTACCCACAATGGTGTATATTGCAGCTGTGATCTGCCACAGACAAAACCAGATAATTCTCTAGACTGTTTTTGATGGAGTATCTGTCCCTGCATTTGTGAATATTTGCTGATAAGATCTCACTTTCCTTCCTCACTGGAATGGCACTGGTGGCTAAGAACAGGAAGGAAACAAGTGTTCTTGGTTTTTCTTTTCCTGTGTTGTATGATCATTACACTTTTCCTTCCACCTTTAAATCCAAAGAAGTAATCATCTTTAAAAACATATTTAGAGGTGATTTCTTGCTTTATTCTGCTTTTTTTTTCTTTCTTTCTCTCTTTCTTTTTCTTTCTTTCTTTCTTTCTTTTCGTTTGGCTATAGATCTTTAAATGATGTTGAAACAGGAAAAGTCTCACTCTCCTACTGATATCTGTTTCCTTCGGAGTGTGATGGGTGATGACTTATCACTTATAGTCACTTTTCTGTGAAACTCTTTTGAGTCAGATAACTTCCCAAACTGGGGAAATAATGAACTGGGAAAAAGGACTAGCTGAATGTCAGACATTTCTTTTGTCTGCTGTTCTGACTGTCGGCTGTCTCATAGAAAACCTGGTTCGGAAATTGAGGTAAATAATATATTTTTTAAAGGAAACAAAGATGAAAATTCTGAAAATGTGTTCCCTTAAAAAAAAAAGAAGAAGAATCAGAGCAGAGGGAACGATAAATCAGAAATGAAAAGTTGCATTAAAGAAATAATTTAAAAAACACAAAAAATATCTTATTAGTTCTGACTCAGAAAGAACAGCCGTGAGAAAGATGTGGAAAGTGAAGCTGCATGCAGAAACAGACCTTACTTAATACATTATTCGCCATATGATCAGTATTTACCCATGTCTTTCAATTATTGTCCTTTTTATTTATGTTTTCAAAGTTGAAATATAACCCGTTTGCTTGAATATTAATAAATATATGCACTGAGTGTGTTTTCCCATAATTCTGAATACTACATATACATTTTAAATATGACTCATGGAGTATGCACAGAGAAATGTATGTGTACACACATACAACGTCATAGAAATTTGCATTTGAAGTACGCATATGATGTTTACTAGTCTGTAAATGAGTCCATATTATCACTTTGTTTATTAGATATGCATGTGTTCTGTATTTCAGAGATGGTTTACACAATGAAGAAAGTACATGCACTTTGGGCTTCCATATGCCTGCTGTTTAATCTTGCCCCTACCCCTCTTAATGCGGATTCTGAGGAAGATGATGAATACATAATTATGACAGGTAAAATATTAGAAACATTTTTCTTTTTAAGCTAGACAAAGCTCTCAATTTTAATCTAAAAATGTATTATATTTTTCCATTGTGGAGAGAAATTAGTTGTTATTGAAGTGATATTTTTCTTGGAAATTTATTATACTCTGTGTGTGTGTATGTGTGTGTGTGTGTGTGTGTGTGTGTACACACACACGTGTGTTCTCAACAGTCCAAAACCAACTAACTTTAGCTTAAAGACTTCTCTTTTTTATTCAGTGTACCATGTTAAACACTGGACTAACTCTGGGCGATTGCAAGGAGCAACATGTGGTAAAAACAACTCCCTATGACATTTGATGCCACCCTTTGACTAGGAAAAGTGTGGGGAAGGAAAGGGAACTTCAGACATCTGAGGCTTCAGTTATTCTTCTGCTTCTTGCCCATATTTCCAAAATAAAAACTTACCAGTTGAGACTAATATAAAAATCTAGCCAAGCAGGACACCAGAGGATCTAGTAATATAAGTTAGCTCCAATCCTGTAAAACTCTGTATCTAAAAATAAGAATATTAACAATAAAAAATAGAGCAAAGAGAAGATGGTATGGTAATGGTTATTGTGAAAAAATAACTTTCTTAAAAGTAACATTTTGTAGCAGATTAGTAAATTATTGACAGAAATCTCAAGTATTGGTTTTAATGAGAGAATATTAACAAAATGACAGCTTTATTTCATATAGCAGTTTAAGATGTAAAAAAGATTTCCATAAATGCACTTATTTTATATCTCTTATACTGCTTTAAAATGACTGTGTTCAGTGTGTTTAGTAAAGTTTAAATAAATACATCTTCTGGGCCTGAAACTGTGGAAGGTGCTAGAGGAACAGGTACGGCTGAGATGAGGTGCTGAAGAATCTCTCCATTTCCTAGAAGAGTCTGAAGGGTGGACAGTCTATTTCTGGGTAATGTAGTAAACAAAGTGACAGAAGCATGCAGAGAGTGCTGCTGTTGATGGGAAGAGGACGGAGATTCATTCAAGCTTGGCTCTCCGAGGGCTCTCACAAGGCAACGTGGTGTTATAAAAATTTCCTAGCGATGAAACATTATTTAGTAAACTAAAACCCTAATGTGCCTTTTTGAAAATAGGAATTTGAACATTGAGTTTCAATCCTTCATTTGGCTTTTTTCTCAAAAAGGGATAGGTTACAGTTCTAACATTCTGGAGGTTACAGAAACAAGGAAGGTGGAAGATAAAATAAGTCCTAACAGGGAAAAAGCAGGCAACCTCACTTGAGGAGACTGAGAAGCAAATTGATCCAAGCGTTTCCTGTATTGTCCCAGTCTAATTTTCCTCAATTGGACTGAGAAAATGAATATTGCTTAACCAGGAAGTTCCTGAAATTTTTGCTGATGCCACTGTCAACCAATAATCCAGAATCAAGTCATCAGTAATTAAGCCAGAATTTAAAATTACTATAACATAGCTCCCAAACCTAGATGGATAACAAAGAATTTTGATATTTAAGCTAGACTTAAAGACCTCTTGGCCGACTAGTTTCAGTTTTATCTGGTTTTGTTCTGTTTTTATTTTATATTAATTTTTACAGTAACCAAATCTCACATCTGAAAAAAAAATTCTATTTTGGTGATACAATTTATCACATGATGCTAAGATCATACCATCATTTTATAGAAGTATATTATTTAATTGAAATAAGCTACTAATATTAATAGAAAAATACATCAAATTTTATTGCTTCTCTCACAATCAGCAGGGAGAATAATCTAGAATTAACATCTAGATAAGACAAAAATGATAATAAAAACAGTGGTAATACGCTTTTTAAAACAATTCCATTGGGCTGGGAGAGAGAAAATTAAGAGTGAACATTTAGTGAAAGATAGGTATCTTTTTTAGGATTTAGAATCAGACAGACCTGAGTTTGCAGGTGTGGTTTGCCACCCAGTACTTTTGTGAGATTGAATAAGTTATTTAAATTTTCTAACTCCCAGTTTCTTAAGCTGTAATGAATAATGTAAATAACTAATTTCCTATAGTTTTAATATAAACAGTGGAAAATCATCTGGCACATTTTCTGACACCGAGAAGGCAAAAAGTACCTGTCTTTGCTCTTCCCTGCCAGAAAAAAAATCAAATCCTTTCATTAGAGGCAAGCAGCATGTGGACTCTTAGATAGTAAGTTACCTGAAAGCCCTAGATTCACAAATAAGTTCTAAGAGGATGAGTATTCTTACAGTCAAGGGCATGACATGTTCTCAGGCATCAAATATTACAGTAAGCCTTCTATCCAGCATCTCAGGACACGGGGCGGTGGGAGGGGAAGGCAGGATTGTAACCTTCAGATTATGAGACATAAAATTCATGGTATTAAGTGCGAATGATTCAATACAAACCATGATTCTATTTATATGGCTGGATCAGATTAAATTCCTTTTAGATTGCCTGTGTGTGTTTTGTTTCTCGTGGCTGCTGTCAGATAATTATTACCTCTGTAAACATTTCCCTCAAGTCTCACTTTCAAGTCTCAAGAAAGTTATCGCTGACCCCTTCAGGATAATTTAGATATCCTATTGTTCACTCGCACAGCACCCAGGACTTTCTGAATATCTGTGTAAGTCCTTAGTGTCTATATGCTCTATGAAGGAGGAGCTGCTGTCATCTAATAAACTGTCATATCTGCAGTGACAGCACAGTGCCCAACATACGGTCACCACACAATTATTAACATCCAAAAGGGTTTATCTAAAATAAGAAATGAAAACCAAGGCAGATTTACATCCCTTTTGGGTGGAGTGGCATGGCACGAAGGTCACACACCAAGCCTGGTCATTGCTTGAGTCCCGGGATGCTGCGCTCAGGTGTGGGCCACAGGATCACTGCACAAAGAATATTCTAACACAGGATTTCTATAAGAAATGCATTAAAGTGTGAATAAAGACAAATAATCACTTAATAATTAACAAAATATAATTCATAAAAGTTAATACCTAGTGTTTCTCCTAGAAAATTTCTATACAATTACCACCTACCTCTGTCATTGAAACCATTTTTAGTTTCATAAAGGTAAATGTTTGAGAAAAAGAATGCTGTTAATTGAGTGGAGATTATATAATTAAAACTGAATGCTTGTTCCAAATACTAGTTGAGGAATCTCAGTCGCATATCTGTGACAGTATCACGCAGGTATTAAGAAGGTGTGAGATATGTGTTGTAAAACCATATGGGGGTCAATTTTAAACCCATCATTTGTGGTATGAATTTAAGCCATTTACTTAAATTCTTCAATGCTGTTTTATAATTTATAAAACGAAGATAATAATATCTAACTCACTATTATGATCATTAAATGCTACAATGACAAAAATGTCCAGAGTGTTGTAATTACTCGGTGAGCAGCGTTAACCGTTATTGCTGTGTACGGCATCTAGTTTTTGTTCTTTTGGTTTTGTGGTGCACTGCCACCACCTGCTGGCACAATGAGTAAATAGCAGATTCAACTTGGGTGAGTACATCTTTAATACAGGAAATGGAAAAAAGATTTAGCTTGATGATAAACACTATCAAATATATCAAGAATAAAAAGTAGAGAAGTCATCAATTAGTATCTGATAAAAAATTATTGATTTATAAAAAATGATTTTTCTGAATATACACGGCAACTGAGAAATTAGGTAAAATTCCCTGTGTTCTGCAAATACACATTTGTATTCAAGTTTTCTGTCTGAAACACTGCTTCAATAACTTGTTTCTAAAGTTCTAAAGTAATATTAATTTGGGAACGAATAACATCACATTGTATGAGAAGTGCTACAGCAATTTGAGATCATGGTGTATAGCTGTAAAATTTAAAATGCCAGAATATTTTTATTCACGCCTTGTTCATTAAAATTATGTGAATTCTGAGGTCCAATATTTAATCAGCTGGAAGGTCACATTTTTATTGGTGTCAAAAACAAACACGCCTACAGTTCAGAAACTCTTGATGCTAAATTCGCTGATACTTACTGTGATTTATCGTAAGTCAGATGCACTACTTAGGGTCTTCATACCAAACTTTCTGGCTTTTCAAAGCAACTCAAAATGTCAGCTTGGCATTCTAAAATCCTTAAGTAAAGACAAAAAAGTATAAACAGCATTTACAATTATTCACAAATGTGCCACTCAGAAAAAAACTTTCATTCTTTTTAAATTCAAACTGACAATTTTTAACTTCAGTGATAGAGAAAATGTGTTTTAAGAAATCATTTTGGTTGATATATTTTTCTATTTTTAGAAAACATTTTTAGCAATTCTCAATTAAATTTATGTTATGAATTTCTATTAGAAAGTAGAAAGTACTTGTGTATCTAGTTTAAGAAAAATGGGAGAATTTCACCATGAAGTACCCATATTTATAGGCACCAGAAACTGTCTGTATGCCTGAGATAAATTTTAAAGCAAATTATCATATTTTAGGTAAGTTCATCAACATAAAATGTTAGATAAAGGATTTGAAAGAAAAAGAAATGACATTTAAACTTGTCTACGTTTACCAATATTTCTTAACTTATTTTGATAAAATTATTTATATATAGACTGTAGATATTTATTGAATTTAGTGACACTGTTATTGGTTTAAAATTATGAAAATATATCATATTGGTAAACACAAGCATTATATTTTGCCAATTGAACATAATTCTAGAGAAAGTTGAAGACAAACAAATGCATATGTTCAGTTGGGCGCAGTGGCACAGGCCTGTAATCCAGCACTTTGGGAGGCAAAGGTGGGCGGATCATGAGGTCAACAGATCGAGACCATCCTGGCCAACATGGTGAAACCCTGTCTCTACCAAAAATACAAAAATTAGCTGGGCATGTGGGCACGTGACTGTAGTCCCAGCTATCAGGAGGCTGAGGCAGGAGAGTCACTTGAACCCAAGAACTGAGGTTTCAGTCAGCCAAGATTGCGCCACTGCACTCACACCTGACGACAGAGCAAGACTCAGTCTCAAAAAAAAAAAAAAAGCGTATGTGCATAAAACTCAACTTTAGTTAAAGGTTTGACCAACATTCTTACTTGCTAATTAGCTGTTTTATAACAACTGTGTTTGAGGCTGAATGTATCCCCGTATCATAATAATTATCTGCCATATGTTATTCTAACTTAACAAATTTTGGACCTGAAAAACATACTCTTCTGTCAGTTCTGTCATCTCAATTTATATCAATTGAAAAAATAATTAACTTATCAAATAGATCAAAATGATTAGATGGCATTGTATAAATTTAAATGGAATTTTTAAAAACTGAAAGCAGTGTTAGTAGTTGAGACAAAATAAACGTGTTCAAAAATAATTAGTGTCCCATGAATCAAACAGCAACAAATGTCAATTTATATATAGAAAGCTATATTTTTAATCCTTCCAAGATTGGAAAGACTACTTACAATTTTATGACTCATATACAAAATAAACAGTACAATTTCAATCATTTTGTTACAGTTTTAACATTAGTAACGTAAGACTAATACTTGCTATTAATTCAAAATTGATAATTAAAATAATGATACATTATGGGTGGGATTAAATTAATAAAATTATCTATTTTAACTTTTATTACGTGCATATTTTCTCTTTCAAAAAAATTCATGTGTTGAAATTACAGGAAATTTAAAATGGATTTCTATTTAGACAATCATACCTCCACAAACTTATCCCATATTTTATGCTTTAAAAATATTTTATGTGAAAATATTAAAGTCTCATCCATTCTTTTCTTTGTTCAAAGTAAACTATTTTAGAGAGCATGAAAACACTTTTTTTGAAGATATTTATACTCATCTGTTTAATATAGTATTGCTGCCCTCTAAAGGGAAAATTGGTTTAGGTCATTTACCGATTTCAATATTCCACATAATAATCAATTGCCAAAGACAAAGAAAATATATGGACTCAATATACAGAAAATATTCAAGCTGTATTATATAGCATTTTCATCATTATTCTTTTGGTTGCACCAACCACAATTTTCGTGCCTATCTTTACTGGTAAACAAATAGAACTTATTTAACATTAGATTTCTATTAATTTTATTGGACGTGAAAAAAGTAAAATGTTTTTAAAATCTAGTTGAATTTCTTCTACGTGTATGCCCATTCCCAGGATAGAAAACTCTGTTGTTACAATTCGTAGTTAAATATTTAAAGAAAAAAAATATATAATTTGAAGTCGAAAGAATTGCCTCATTCTATGTAAAACATAGAAAGCATTATTTACGTTATTTCAACATTATTAAAACCCAAGCATGGTATGGTAAGTAAAAAAGAAAAGCACCATGCAGTTTATTTTTTGTAACATCAAACACATAAATTTTCATAATTAGGGAATGGTTTAATATGGTATTATGTACATAGATGTGTGTGTGTGTATATATACATATATATATATATAGACATATATATATATATATGAATGTGAATATACTGTTGTTTTATGTATGAAGAGTGACACAACTGTGGGTTAAGGAGAATTGTCCATTGCCTGAGTTAAAAGAAGAGGTCTATTGCTGACACATCCACCTGAATGAAGTTACCTTTCAAGTACTACTCAATTCCCTCCCAGTTCGCTTAGAAGTTGTGTCTCATTTGGTGAATGTATTAACTTTATCTACCATTTTGATAACTGAACAACTTTTTATAGTTTCTTATCAGCATGTGTTATGGCATTTTTCCTTAAAATCAGGACATATTAAAAAAGAAATAAAGAACATTATTATAGTGTTGATGAAGGATGACATGTTGTATCTCTTGTTTTTACCTTATAGACCCTGAGTTGCCACCACTGAAATTTAGGCATACGTTTTGTGCATATAAGGCGGATGATGGCCCATGTAAAGCATGGATGAAGAGATATTTCTTCAATGTTTTCACTCGACAGTGTGAAGAATTTATATATGGGGGATGTGAAGGAAATCAGAATCGATTTGACAGTCTGGAAGAGTGCGAAGAAATGTGTGCAACAGGTAGGTTTCTGGGAACCCTTGTTACTCAATACCCTTTAGGACTGTTGAGCCTAATTACAGATTTGATAATTTAGGGAAAAAAGTAATTTCATGCTATTTTAACATTTCCAAGGAATCTTTTATTTCCACATTAATGGCAATTCTGAATTTTACCATGAATTACCCATATTTTAGGTACCAGAAACTCTATATGCCTGAGAGACCTTTTAAAGCAAATTATCATATTTTAGATAAGTTCAACATTTATGTTCAACTATCATTTTTCATTTTTTCATATCAGTGATTAAAAAATATATGAAGCCTTATTTATTGTCTTATACTCTTATCCATAATAAAGACAAAAGAAGAAAATCTCAACTCATGTTTACAGAATGGTGGAGTATTTTTGAAATAAAATGGGTATAATTCAGCAACCCAAAATTGCAATCTGAGTTGGCAGAAGAACTGTTAGTCACACTGACTTAGTCTTTCCTTTGTCAACACAATGGTCTCATGATTGTCCTTTCTCAAGATCATGAATCTGAAAATTGAAGTTCTATGGCTACTAATAATAAAATTCTAAGCTGCATGAAATAGTTGAACTACATATGAAATATAAGGGATTTTTGTTATTGGAACATTGAAATACTATGGAAAATAAAAACAGAATACTATAAAAAAGAAAAGTCATCCCTGATGACCTTTGTAGACTTACTAAACCCAACATGTTATATTAATATTACTAAGTTATAAATTTCAAAAGTACATCATATTATATTAAACTTTTATTCTGCATTAATCTTATTAAAATTTAACTTTTTTATAAATTTTGCTAATTACCTTATTCCATGTGGTTTTATATCTTCTCACTAAGATAAATTACAAATAATTACTGACCAAAATTTTGAATGCTTTTTTTATCTCAGGTTATTCTCCCAAATTGTAAGTTACTCAAGGAATATAATAAGTTGGGTTGCTTTTATTTCCCTAGTTTCTAGTCTAAAATTCTACCATAGCATGTTTGTAGAGCTGATTGGATAGAATTGAGGTGATGCAGAAATTATATCTCTGGTTAGTAACACTAGATGTCTTGTTTTTTGCAAATCAGGCAGCTCTGCATTCTCACTCTGTTACTGCTTTCTAAACAGCTTTTACTAAACAGCCTTCGCATCATGGTGCTCTTGGTCTGTGGGAAAACCTCAGTGTAGTGAAAAGAGCAAACTTCTCTCCTCTGTGACTCTGTAACGTGTTTTGTTGTATGCTCCAGAGCTTTCAGAAGAGAATAGAAATGAATATATTTTTTTAACCTCACAGCACTGATTTCTCTATTTCCTCTCTATAGATGCCCTAGTAATGTTACTAACACAGTTTAGGCAGCTCAGTGGTCCTCAGAGGCGCCTTTGGTTTTTGAGATTGCCTGGTCATTTTCCATTCATCACAGATTTCTCTACCCCATTTTCTTTCATATACATTGGGCCAAGTATCCTTTTGTGTTGAGTTGAAAATCATTCTTAGTTGTCAGAATTTTGGCCAGAAGCCTGGTTGCTCATCCTTAGTAATCCTCACTCTTTCATTTAGCAGGCTATTTATTTTCATCAATGAGTCTCCTCTCTGAAATACACACCTGTTCTTTGTATATGTGTATAATTCAAGTCTTATGGTTTATCATTGTACAAAAGTTACTCTTTTCTTTAAAAGTTACTCAAATGTAATCATTTTGCTCATCAGTGATGGCCCTGTTTATCATTTAACATATCATTACTGGCTAATATGTAAATGTAACTCACTTACCCCCATCGCCTCATTATCTATCAAAAGTCACTTGAGGCTGGGCACAGTGGCTCATGCCTGTAATTGCAGCGCTTTGGGAGGCCAAAGCAGGTGGATCACCTGAGGTCAGGAGCTCGAGACCAGCCTGATCAGTATGGTGAAACCCTGTCTCTACTGAAAATATAAAAATTAGCCAGGCATGGTGGCATGTGCCTGTAGTTCCAGCTACTCAGGAGGCTGAGACAGAATTGCTTGAAACCAGAAGGTGGAGGTTGCAGTGAGCTGAGATTGTGCCACTGTACTCCAGCCTGGGCAACAAATGAGGACTACATCTCAAAAAAAAAAAAAGTCACTTTCTATTATTGTATCAATATCTGAGTGTTACATACAGCTCATCACTGTTAAGGATATAGCTGATATATAGAAAACGCATGGCTAGACTTTTAAAAGCACACCTAAGAAGAAAATTTCATCTACAGCCATGACAGATAACTAGAACTGTACTTTCTTTCCCAATATAAAGAACTATGAAACTGGACAAAATGTAAAAAACTAGTGTTTGTAAACATTGATCAAAAGGCAGTGAAGGATTGTGACCTCTGGGAGAAGGTAAATATATAAAATAAGCCCTCCAATCTCCCCTGCTTTCTGTATGAAGGCTTTCTGAGCAACAGTTATGGGAAATAAATCCAAGTATAGAATGGTGGATTCTCTAAAGACAGGACATGGCTATTAGAGATTAGAGAGCTGAAGTGGTTGTGGTTTTTCTAACAATGGGTGTGGTAGGGTTTGGCTCTGCATCCACACCCAAATATCATCTTGTAAATCCCACATGTTATGGGAGGGACTGGTGGGAAATGATTGAATCACAAGGGATGAGGGGGCAGGTGGTCTTTCCCATACTGTTCTCATCCTAGTGAATGGGTATCACAAGACCTAATTGTTTTAACAAACAGGAGTTTATCTGCATAAGTTCTCTTTGCCTGCAGCTATCCTTGTAAGATGTGATTTACTCACACTAAATTGGTACCAGTAGTGTGGGGTGTTGCTGAAAAGATACCTGAAAATGTGGAAGTGACTTTGAAACTGGGTAACAGGCAGAAGTTGGAATACTTTAGAGGGCTCAGAAGAATACAGGAAAAGGTTGGAAAGTTTGGAACTTCCTAGAGACTTGTTGAATGGCTTTGAGAAAAATGCTGATAATGGTATGAACGATAAGGTTCAGACTGAGGTGATCTCAGATGGAGATGAGGAACTTGTTGGGAACTGGAGCAAAGCTGACTCTCATGTTTTAGCAAAGAGACAGGCGGCATTTTGCCCCTGCCCTAGAGATTTGTTGAACTTTGAACTTGAGAGAAATGATATAGAGTATCTAGCAGAGGAAATTTCTAAGCACCAAAGCATTCAAGAAGTGACTTGGGTGCTGTTAAAGGCATTCCATTTCAAAAGAGAAACAGCATAAAAGTTTGGAAAATTTGCAGCCACAATGCAACGCAATAGAAAAGAAAATCCTATTCTCCAAGGAAAAATTCAAGCCAGCTGCAGAAATTTGTGTAAGTAACAAGGAGCTGAGTGTTAATGACCAGGACAATAGGGAAAATGTCTCCAGGGCATGTGAGATCTTTGTGCCAGCTCTTCCTATCATAGGCCTGGAGGCTTAGGAGGAAAAAATGGTTTTCAGGGTCAGGCCCAGAGTCCCATGCTATGTGCAGTTTAGGGACTTGGTGACCTGTCTCCCAGTCACTCCAGCTGTGGTTGAAAGGGGCCAACGTAGAGCTCAAGCTATGGCTTCAGAGGGTGCAAGCCTCAAGCTTTGGCAACTTCCATGTGGTATTGAGCCTGCAAGTACACAGAAGTCAAGAATTGAGGTTTGGAAACCTCTGCCTAGATTTCAGAAGGTGTATGAAAGTGCCTGGATGCCCAGATAGAAGTTTGCTGCAGGGGGGTGGGGCTCTCATGGAGGATCTCTGCTGGGGCAGTGCAGAAGAGAAATATGAAGTCAGAGCCCTCACACAGTCCCTACTGGGACATCGCCTAGTGGAGTTGTGAGAAGAGAGCCACTGTCCTCCAGGCCCCAGAATGGTAGATCCATCAACAGGTTGCACCATGCACCTGAAAAAGCTGCAGACACTCAACACCAGCCTGTGAAAGCAGCCAGAAGAGAGGCTGTATCCAGAAAAGCCACAAGGGTAGAGCTGCCCAAGGCCTTGGGAGCCCACCTCTTGCATCAGTGTGATCTGGATGTGAGACATGGAGTCAAAGGAGAACATTTTAGAGCTTTAAGATTTGACAGCCTTGCTGGATTTTGGACTTGCATGGGGCCTGTAGAGCCTATGTTTTGGCCAATTTCTCCTATTTGGAACAGCTGTATTTACCTAGTACCGTACCTTCATTGTATCTAGGAAGTAAATAACTTGCTTTTGATTTTAAAGGCTCATAGGCAGAAGGGACTTGCCACATCTTGGGGGAGACATTGGACCGTGGACTTTTGAGTTAATGCTGATATGCATTGAGACTTTTGCAGACTGTTGGGAAGGGGGTCTGTTGGGGGGAATTAGGGGAGGGACAGTGGGGGGTGGGGAGTTGGGGAGAGATAGCATGGGGAGAAATGCCAGATATAGGTGAAGGGGAGGAAGGCAGCAAATCACACTGCCATGTGTGTACCTATGCAAATATCTTGCATGCTCTTCAAATGTACCCCAAAACCTAAAATGCAATAAAAAAAAAGAAAGAAAGAAAAGAAATGTGAAAATATGAGATATAGGAGGGGCCAGAGGTGGAATGATAGGATTTGGCTCTGTTTCTTCACCCAAATCTCATCTTGTAGCTCCCATAATTTCCACATGTTGTGAGAGGGACCTGGTGGGAGATGACTGAATCATGAAGGCAAGTCTTTCACATGCTGTTTTCATGATAGTGAAGGGGTTTCACAAGATCTGATAGTTTTAAAAATGGGAGTTTCTCTGTACAACCTCTCTTTTTGCCTGCTGCCATCCATGTAAGATGTGACTCGTGCCTCCTTGGAGAGGCCATGATTGTGAGGCCTCCCCAGCCAGATGGAACTCTGAGTCCAATAAAGCTCTTTCTTTTGTAAATTGCCCAGTCTTTAGTATGTCTTTATCAGCAGAGTGAAATCACACTAATTCAGTGTGGAATATGATAGACTAGTGTGGAGAAACACCCTAGAAATCTGGATAGGGTCCCCTCTGAGTTTTTCATTGAATAATAAAAATTTAATTGAATAAAGGAAA